GTCTCTGTTGGCTTAACATGAGAAATAAGACAGGCTTGGAGCTTTAGGGCAGAGAATCCTGCTGATCTAAGAGTCTGGGCCTCACCAACCTGGGAGATTTCAGTGGCCTCATCCTGTAAAGTCCTTCCCTGAGTAGTGTGACAATTCCAGGGTGTGGTTCTCTTTCCTCCCATCTTATCCTTTCGTTCCAGTGGCTTCAGATGTGATGCAAGGACAATACCCCTGCGGGCAAAAGACAAAGATTGGGGGATGGACTTAATGCTGTGTCTGTGGATGGGAGGCAGCTGGACTTTGCGTGATATAGGTTGAACCTGTTCACAGGCCAATTTGACAATAATAACAATATTAACGACAGCTGACAGCTTTTGAGCACTTCACACGTGCCAGACACCGTGCTCAGAGTCTTACGTGCAGTAGCTCATTTAATTATAACAACAGTTACTCTCTTTTACAGATGGGGAATTGAGGCTCAGAGAGGTTAAGGAGCTTGCAAAAAATCACACAAGTAATAGCGAGTGATGTCAGGACTGAAGCCCAGAATGGTTTAATTCCAGCGCACTTGCTGTTAACCACTATAGTCTGCCACAACAGAAGGGCCTGAGAAAAATGGTGGTGAGCCAACCTGAACTCCTCATAGGAAGCCACCCTCTGTTCCACTGCCCGTAGCTTGGCAGCATTCTCACGTTTGTATTTCTCATCAGCAGTGATTGCAGCCTGCAGCTCTTTCTCCAAAGCCATAAAGTCGATGACATCATTCCTTTCCATAGCCGTGCCTGGGAAGGCAGAAGGAATGCACATCAATGGAGGGACAGTATCAGGGGAAAGAGGATGCCTCTGGGTTCTTTGCCAGAACACAAAATGATCAAAGTGACTCTGGATATCATGTCACTTATCTTGGTGGGGCAGGGGGGAAGGGTTGTTACAAAAATCTAGTTTTCTACTTTATAGAGATGAACTGACTGACATCATGAGGACTTACACAAGACGTCACTGAAAATAAGATAGGAGTCCTGACTTTTGGTTCGGAGTCCTGTCTAAATTTTGTTCTCTGCCTCTAAATATATATATGTGTATACACACACACACAGACACACACACACATTTGACTGGTAAGGGGATCTTAACCCTTGACCTGGTGTCAGCACCACGCTCTCCCAAGTGAACTAACCGGCCATCCCTATATAGGGACCTGAACCCGTGGCCTTGGTGTTCAGGTCTGTTCAGAACAGACCAGGGAGGAAGCCAAAGTGGACATACACTAATCCCTCCACTCTTTAATTCCTTCCCATTCCCCGCTCCCCCCAATCCAACCAGGGCCCACTTGGCAATCCTCAAAGGCAAGAAGATAAAGCACCTCAAACACCATTCAACACTGAAATATTAGTTCATTTCTTCCTTCTCTGACCTGAGTGTGTGCACCCTGGCTACTTCCATCCTAACCCTGGTCCCCAATCTCCCACCTGCCTCAGGCTTCCCTACTTCCCAGACCAGGCCCCAGACCTGCCCACAAAAATTTGGCTTCCTCCCTGGTCTGTTCAGCACCACACTTTTCCAAGTGAGCCACGGGCAGGCCCTTGCCTCTAATTTTAGTGCTTCAGTTAAGGAGGCATTTGGATCTCAGAATTCAGTCCCTTCATTCTCCCACATGGGATCGCTCTGTAGCAAGTTGTTGCGATACAGGATTTCACACAAAAGCAGAACTCTTGCTAGCTACTATTGAGTGCAAGGATAAAATTTCATCTTTCATTAAATGTCTTAAATGCGGAAGGCTAGTATTTTTCACCGAAACCAGATGCAGCACCTGAGCAAGGAATCAAGTAGAAATGGCAGAGGAAGGAGCTCAATGATCTCCATCCGCAAATCCCTCAGTCCAGACCAGGGCTGGAGCACTGACGCTTAGGAACCTGGTCAATGTCTTTAGTTCTATCGCTGTACTTTTGCAGCCTCTGCATATCTGAGGCTGATAGACCCCTTCTACAGGGAGATCATCTATATGAGATCTAGTCTAGGTTCTGGCATTTACTTGTTGTAAGACCACTCTGAACCTCAGACACCTGATGAGTTGAGCTAGATTTTGTGGCAGAGTCATCATGAACAGCCCTAGGACGGAAAAGTAGGAAGTCTGCAACCAATCCCATAGCCACCCCCACCCCAACTTGTGGAAAGTGAATGCCAAGAAGGGAGTTGGGCTGGCCGAGAACTGAAGTCAGGTGTCCTAGCTCCTGTCCAGTTCTGAGCCCTCCCCCAGTCATTAAATAAATAGAACTAACCCTTCCGTCTCCCTTACTCAGCCACCCGGACCTTCACCTCAGCAGCCCAGGCCTCGGTCCCCTTTGAGGATTCCCTGATATACCAGAACTGGAAGCAGCTCAGCACAGACCACGCCCAGCTGCTGTGGTTGCCCAGCAACTGCTCCAACAGCCTGCCCACGTGATCGGCTCGAAGGCCCCCTCCCGTTGAGGGTGGTCCCAAGGCGCCTGATCAAATGTATGCGTCCTCAGTTCTCACTCTCTTTAGAACAGCACACGCCTTGATTTGGGGACGCACAACTCCACCTGTCAGTTCCTGTCTCCACAGGCCGGCTTCTGTTGGTGCCGGTCCTCAGGCAGAGGGCTGTCCTCCGGGGCAGAAACGCGACGGCGGCGTCTGCGGGGTCCTTCCTGGAGGCGGGCGCAGTCGTGGCCGCGGCGTGGGGCGGAAGAGCGGGCTCCGGCGGCCGACTTGGAGCACTCGGCTGAGCTGGCGGGAGGTGAGCGGCGCGGGTCAGCGGCAGGGGAGGCTTGTTCCGGGTGGGATGAGGAACTAAAGAACGTCAGATCTGGAAGAGGTGCTATGTGCTATCTGCCCTTTTCGCTTTACAGATGGGTAAATTGCGGCTTAGAGCAGGAAAGAAAATGAAAGACGCTCCCCGCCCCCAACACACACACACACCCCGATTCCGGGGTTCCCTCGATATCTTCTATATGTAAAATGCCGTCCCTGGGACAGGGGTCGTGTTCTAACTCTCCAGTCCCCTTTCTCACTCCCTCTTCCATCTTCACCCCTTCTGTGCCAAGCTCCCTCCGTGTTTTCTTCGGTACTCCTTTGAGAGCCTGTGTTGCAGAGGGAAACTGCAAGTGAGGCTTAGTACCAGGAGTCACTCGTTTTGTGCAGCTGTGGGCAGGTCAAGCTGTCTTCTGTGTGTCTTGTTGGAGTCCTTCGTTCATTCAACGAATAGTTATTGGGGGCCTATTTTGTAACAGGCATTGTTCTAAGTGAATTAAACAAAGCCCTTGCTTAAATTGTAGTTGGGGAAATTAACAGTAAACCAATGAATAGATAAATGCCACCTAGTCGTAAATGTTAGTAATAATAGTAAAACAGTAAAATGGGGGTTGGAGAGTGTGTATGGAGGACTTTTTAGAGTGATAGAGGTGACATTTTAGTAGAGACTTGAGTGAAAAAAAGGAACAAGGTATAAATAAGTATCCAAGGGAAGAGCATTTCGGAACAAGAGAGTGGCAAACGCAGTGGCCCTGTGTCAGAAATGAGCGTGGCTTCTTCATGAACAGCCTTCTATGAACATTTTTGCAGTCAGGTGATGAAGGTCTCGGTAGAATGAAATGAATACAGATATGATAGCTCTTTGGGAATAAAAAAAACCTCTATGCATATGAAAGTTTCCATAATAATTTACATTTAATTACCGGTCCTTGGAGCTCTCCAATTCTCTAGTTGTCTACAGTCAGTCCTCAGCAGGTGGCTTTGAGGGAGGTGGAGGCATTAGCTTAATGCAAGAAATATCAGTATCTCAAAATTAAATATTCCATTCAGTTAACATTTATCCAGTTCCTACTTGAGCAAAATGCTGTCCTGGGCATTGGCAGGTAAACACAAGGAACACGGAGTTCTATTTAAGAATGGCTAAAAATGGGGAGGGGAGGGGAAAAAATGGCTAAAAATAATGTTAGCTAATATTTATTTATTTATTTAATTTTTTTTTAAAAGATGACCGGTAAGGGGATCTCAACCCTTGATTTGGTGTTGTCAGCACCACGCTCAGCCAGTGAGCGAACCGGCCATCCCTATATGGGATCCGAACCCATCCCTATATAGGGATCCGAACCCGTGGCCTTGGTGTTATCAGCACTGCACTCTACCGAGTGAGCCACGGGCCAGCCTGTTAGCTAATATTTATTGAGTCTGAGTCTGTACTAAACTCTACACAGGGTTTTTTTGTTTTGTTTTGTTTTGTTTTTTCTTTCTTTTTTTTTTTTTTTAAATAACTGGTAAGGGGATCTCAACCCTTGATTTGGTGTTGTCAGCACCACGCTCTCCCAAGTGAGCTAACAGGTCATCCCTATATAGGGATCCGAACCCGTGGCCTTGGTGTTATCAGCACCACACTCTCCCAAGTGAGCCACGGGCCAGCCCTACACAGGGTATTTTTTGAATCATCCCCACCCTTTTATGCATTGAGGATTATTCACCCCATTTTCCAGTTGAGGAAACAGGTTTGGAAAGGTGAAGTAATGAATCTGAAGTAATGTAGTTGTTAGTGACCACGTTAGCTTCCAAATCAAGGTCTCCAACTCCAGAGTCTTGCCACTTAGCCCCTGCTGTAGTCCATTGTTTATTGCTTGTAAATTATGGTTGTTGGTGAGGGTAATTAGGACAGTTCACTATCGTTCAAGACAAAATTAAATACTGATAAAGATGCAAAAGCCTGTAGCAGCATAGGAATATGAGAAGTTGAGGATCTAGGAAAGCGTGAAGGAGGTGGCATTTGAACTGTTCCTTTGAAAAGAATTTCAATAATTGAAGTAGAGAAAACCCATAAAGTCCTAATTAATTACGGAGAGAAAATGAGTAACTTTACAAGGAAAAGCCTGGTCTACATCACCTTAATCAAGTCATCAAAGTTACATCACCACTGATAGGACAAATTGAAATCATGTATCACCTGATAGGAGATGCACTGAGAAGAACACATCACTTCTGTGATATTCCTGCCAAAAATACATAACCTGAATATAATCATCAGGAAATTAAGGGACATTCTACAAAATCACTGGCTTGTAATCAAGTGTCAAGTCATGAAAGTCAAGGGAAGACTAAGGAACTGTTCTAGATTGAAAGAGACTAAAGACACGACAACTAAATGCAAACAGGTGATTCTGGATTGAATCCTGACTGCAGGATATTATTGGAACAATTTGTGAAACTTGAATGGGGTCTGGGTTAAGTGGTAATAATGTCTCAATAATAATTTTCTTTTCTTTTTTTTTTTTTTGTCTTTTTTCCGTGTCTGGCAACGGATCGCAACCCTCAGTGTTGCCCCCGTACCGGACCGGGGACCGGCGACGGGATCGCAAGCCTCGGCGTTGCTCCCGCGCCTCGCTCAGCCAGTGAGCGGGAGCCGGTCTGTACGTGGGATCCGAACCCTCGGACGGGAGCGCTGCCGCGCTTCCCAAGCGGGCGCACTATCCAGTGCGCCACCAGGCCGGCCCGTCAATAATAATTTTCTGATTTTGGTGATTGTATTGTGGTTATGTAGGAGAATGTCCTTGTTTATAGGAATCATACTGAAGCAGGGGTTGGCACACTTTTTTATTAAGGGCCGGATAGTAAATATTTTAGGCTTTGTGTCACCTCTGCTGTTATAGTGTGAAAGCAACTACAGGTAATATAAATGAATATTCATGGCTGTGTTCCAATAAAACCTTTTTAATAGACAATGATATTTGTTTCTGTTTTTTTGGCGGCTGGCTGGTGTGGGGAGATATTTGAATATTATGAGTCTTCATGTATCATGAGATATTTTTCTTTTTTTTTTTTTTTTTTCCTTTTTGTCTTTTTTCGTGACCGGCAACGGATCACAACCCTCAGTGTCGCGCCTGTACCTGACCGGGACCGGCAACGGGATCGCAACCCTCGGTGTCACGCCCGCACCTTGCTCAGCCAGTGAGCGGCCGGTCTGTATGTGGGATCCGAACCCTCAGCGGGAGCACCGCTGCGCTCCCAAGCGGCGCACTGTAGCAGTGCGCCACCGAGCCGGCCCCATGAGATATTTTTCTTTTGACTTTTTCCCCAACTATTTAAAAATGTGAAAAGCAGTCTTAGCTTGAGGGTCATGCAAAAACAGGTGGAGGTGCCAGATTTGACCATTGGCCAGAGTTTGCTAACTCCTGCACTAAGATATTCCCGGGTGATAAGGCATTGTGTCAGCAGCTTAGTCTCAAATCATTTAGGAAAAAGAAAATTATTTGTACTGTTCTTGCCACTGTTTGATAATGTTATTTTAAAATTAAATTTATTTTAATATTAAAAAATGAAGTGGAGGGCCAAGGTTATGGGTTCGGGTCCCCACACTAGCCATCCCAAAAAAAAGAAGTGGAGGGATGAGGATATAAGTAGAGATGTGGAGAAAGGCAGAGAATTGGGGAAACTGGGCTTTGGGGGAAGCAGTCAGTAGGTTGATGTAACTGGAGAGGAGTTGTATGAAGGGCTGTAGTCAATCGTTAAGACTAGAAAGGTGGGGCCATGTCATGGAGGCCTGGATTACCTTGCCAGAATCTAACTCTTCTCACCTTGAATTTCAGCATCATGGATACTGACTTGTATGATGAATTTGGGAATTATATTGGACCAGAGCTTGATTCTGATGAAGATGATGATGAATTGGGTAGAGAGACCAAAGATCTTGATGAGGTAAAACAAATACATTGCTTTCTTTCATCTCTGGTTTTTAAAAAAGCAATCAAGTACTGAATCCTCTGTGTTCTCATAATACCCTGCGGGCATCTCTAACATTGCCCTTTTTATAACATGACTTATTGGAGTCTTACACTGCACCCAAGAAAGTTTAGTTACTAAAGTTCCAGAAGGGAATATGAGATAGTTTCATTGATGAGGTGGTTTTGTCATCTGTGCTCTAGTTCATTGATAGTAGCTCTTCTTCCACTTGCCCGAAGTATTTTTTGACAATCATGAATAATTCCAATTTAGAAAAGGTTGTAAGATTTCCAAGTGCAACTGCACTGGGAGCTCCCTCACAAGCTCAGGTTTTTAAAGGTGCATAAAACAGTAGAAAGGAGGCCAGCCAGTGGCTCACTTGGGAGAGTGTGGTGCTGATAACACCAAGGCCATGGGTTCAGATCCCTATATAGGGATGGCCGGTTAGCTCACTTGGGAGAGCGTGGTACTGACAACACCAAGTCAAGGGTTAATATCCCCTTACCAGTCATCTTTAAAAAAAAAAAAAAAAAAAAAAAAAAACCCAGAAAGGGAAGGTGCAGATTCCTGGACTCCCCTTCGAAGGGCTACAG